CCGTCCACGCTGAACTGCGCCTTGTGGACGGGGAAGCGCTCCAGGTGGATGCTCTGGATCTTCGGGTTCGTCTTCCCGTCCACCTGAAGAGGAGGAAGGTCAAAATCACGTGACCCCTCCCACCTGAGCCTAACACCTGAGCAGAGAGGCTCGACCGTACCTGGAACAGGGAGAGGGACTGGTCGAGGCCGGCCGTCATGACGACTTGAGCGCTGGGGTGGAACTGGACGGTGGTCAGCCTGTCCTCAGACGGACGGGCGCTGTTGGCGTGGAGACACTTCTTCACCTGATCACGAACGCAGAGACGACAGGAAGTCAGACCTGACGTTTTAACGAGTGCTCGTCTGTGTGTGTTTATAACAAATGACAGCATCAAACTTCACCTGTGAGCTACAGAACATAAATCAGCTGTTTTTCTAATGGAGTCTGGCAGGAAGCACGCCACAGGTCTTTACATGAAGCCTTCAGCTTCAGTCTGAGGACAGGGTGTTGCATCGACAACCAGGAAGCAACATGAACTCACTCATGAACAGCAGAACAGAAAATGAGCAGATTTTGAATGGAGTCTGGTAGAAAATGACCTGAACCAAGTTTGCAAGCTGAGCCTGAAACTGCTGTGCAAAAGAATCTAAAATTCAGAGGATTTTAAATGAAGTTTGGTGGCAAAAATGTCAGTAAACAGCCGTCCAATCTCACTTTATTAAAATTCAAATGACGAGCTCAGAATTCACTCGAAGCGCTGTGAGGCATCAAACATGTTTCTAACAAAGCCCACATTCACACAGTCACTGCTGCTAAAATGATCCATATTCTGAATGGAGTCTGGCAACCACGTCACCAGATTCAGCAGAAAAACCTCACATCCTGTTCTCAGACACAAACTTATCCCAGCACCGGTGTAACACTCATCGCTCTGTAACATTACCTACAGCAAACACGTAAAATGAGCAATATTTTGAATGGAGTCTGGTGGAACAGCCTGACACACAAACAGAAGCCTGCTGGACTCACTGACCCTCAGGATGCCGCTGGGCAGGCTGTCCGAGGACGCCACAAAGTTTCCCGTCCTCCTCAGCAGGTCGTCCTCCTCATCTTCATCCTCCTCATCTTCATCCTCCTCATCTTCAGGAACACAGAGACGCAGAGTCTGAGTTTCTGTCGACTGAAAACACTCTTAAAATAATAAAAACATTTCAGACTCTACCTCTCCTCCTCCTCCTCCTCTTCTGGTCGCTGCTCTCCGCCCATGATGGAGTTCCTCCCATCGCCTTCTGGAACCTGAAACACACGCAGCACACGTCCAGGTGTGTTTATAGGTGTGTGTGTGCGCCTGTGTGCGTGCATACTCACTGCTCCCTCATCCTCTGCTGCAGTTTCTGTTTGGTCATGGCGGACTCCGCCTCGCCTTTCATCAGGTTTCTACGGAAACGGTGCTTCATGTCCACCCTGAAACACACCAACACCTCAGCATCATCACGCGAGTCTTCACTCACCACAATCATCTTTGATTTCCCGCTTTCAGCCTAAAACACGTCTTATTGTGAAACACTCACTCTTCCTCCAGCTCGTCATCC